TCAGTTATTCAGTTATTCAGTTCAGCCGTTCTCCTCCAACTCCATCAGCATCTTTAAGTTGTTTGATCTCCAAGGTAAATGCTGTACATTAAACTTAATAAAACAAGTTTATTGCACTACATTCTATTGTTCAGTATTGTGTTTTTATACAATATTCGTTATTTTTAGTACATTTTTCTTATTTAGAAACATTTAACAAAACAATTGCGGTGTTTTTTGGGTGTCCGGAATGGATTAATGGCATTTCAATTCATTGTAATGGTGAAAATTGATTTGACATAGGAGTAATTTGAGTTGCGAGCTCCATCACAGAACGAATTAAACTCGTAAGTCAAGGCCCCACTGTACCAAATAGTGAGAGGGATCCCCAGTTCCAGTAACCCAAAATTCAGGCTTCTTCAGAGAAGAAGACCATAAGGCAGCATGATATATGTTCTATACTACAGCATCTATAATAATCTATAATAATAAAAGCGTAATATGCTAACTAGACTGGATGTCCTTCCGGACGACCTTCTGGACAATACTGGGGCTGTGAGAGAAGCCCGGGTCCCGGGTGCCAGAGGTAAGCCAGTGCTGGCAGCCGGGGGAAGAAAGGCCTATTCTTGCATGAATTTCGTGCTTTGGGCCTCTAGTGTTCATTATAATATTGAGGAGAATGGCTACTCTTGACCTTCTGACCTTTTGTGACCTTAATATGATTGACCAAAAAGTATATAAATGGCCATTTTTAAAATAAAATAGCTAGATGAGTTTTAAGTCTTTAAAAAAAAAAGTACCTCTTAAAAGGGAAGCAAAAATAACATTTGGGAGAGTTAAAGGAATTGAGAAAGACTAAACAAACCAAAAAACACCTATGATCTCATCATCCAACCAAAAGTATTTTCATTTTTGCTGTCAGCATTTGCTCTTCTTCCAGACATGTACATACCTTCAGCTATAGTTAGTTGTAACATGTAATTTTCTATTCTTTTCCCAAATTGTCATTGTACCATAAGCAACTATGTTGCTGACTGTTCTCCCTAATTATCATCTTTAATGGCTTCATGGATCACAGATTCATGACAAGATGGAATTAGGCCCAAACTCTATCACCTGGCCACTATACACCTCTCCCCCCTTAACTGTGGGCATTATGTTCCAAGACATCCAGTGGATGCCTGAAGCCACAGACAGTACTGATATATACTGTACTACATTTTCCCTATCCATCCATCCATCCATACATACATACATACATACCTATGACAAAGTTTAATGGATAAAGTAAGCACAGTAAGAGATTAACAACACTAATAATAAAATAGAACAATTAGAATAATATATTCTAATAAAATTTATGTGAATGTGGCCTCTCCCTTTCGAAGTATCTTATTGTTCTCAACTCACCTTTTCACTTAAAGCATTTTACAACTTCTGTTTGGCATATCCTAATCTCCATCATCACTACTCTTATGCTTTGGGGCCATTATTAAGTGAAATAAGGGTTACTTAAACACAATCACTGAGATACTGCGACAGTCAATCTGATAACAAGCTGGCTACTAAGTAACAAATGGGCAGTGAATATATACCGCACGTATATGCTGGACAAAGGGATGGACTCATGGTTCGGGAAAAAGCAGATCAGTGTGAGATTTTATCATTATACTCAAAAGGGCTCACAATTTAAAACTTTTGAAGTAGTTATTTCTGAAATTTTTCATTTAATATTTTTGTATCACTGTTGACTGCAGGTAACTAAAACTGTGGGAAGTGAAACCACAGATAAGGGGGACTACTATAAGCTCCTATTTGACCCAGTGGACCACAGTGACATTTGGGGTTCCTAAGGATTAGCATCATTTCAGAACAGTGTTTAGGAATTCCTGAAAAGCCAGGGTATTTCCATTTCTCCCAATGCACAGACACCTTAGTGAGTGATTTGGGGATGGCTTGGAGGGAGATCTACAGTAAGTATTTGTGGCATTGTTGCAGGGTCCTTTCTCAAGGGGTCTCTTCTTCCTCTCCAACCCAGAGCTTCAGATCTGTGACCTAATAAAGTCTGGGAATATAAGAAGTTGTGATTCTCAGTTGTGAGAACTCAAGTTATATTTCTATTACTTTGGTAGTCCAGCCATATGTTTAATTCTTAGGGTCAACCACCACCAAAGATTTTTTTTACTTTAAGTAAAAAATTCTGATTGCCACTCTGGGATCTCATTATCCCCACTGAAATTAGGAAGCCCATCTCAATGGCAGCATTTCCCACTATTGTCCTTGGTCTACCTGGAGGTGTTTAAGGTTGCTGGGGCTGCCTCACTAATGCATTTCTCAATACTTTAGTGAAGTGAATATTCCCTGGACACTTTCAGGGCCCAGTGGGGTGAGGAAAGATGGACAGGATACACATAATAAACTACTCCATTATTCCTATCTCTCTTAGCCTTTAGAATTCTTCCTGTACATTATGTCAGAGAAATTCTTCTGTCAACCAAACACCATTGAATGTAGATTGCTATTGATCCCAGGTTTCAGCCAACCAAGTAAGCCAATTGTGCCATTTCTAGCTGTTCAAGCAAACGCACCTATTTAAGCGAGCTCTTGCTGTATAATAAAATTTGTGGCTTATGTTCATCATTTATGCTTTTATGATTTTGGAGGTAAACAATTTGGGCTTGGCTCAGCTGGTGCAAGTCATTTTTGCCTTACATGGTGTCATCTGGGCTCACTTATGCATTTGCAGTCAGTTGACAGATTGGCTGGAGGATGCTGGTCTTTGACTCACAAGTCTTAGAGTTAGGCCATGTGTCTCCAGCAGATTGTTCATGCTTCTTCAACATGAAGGCTGGTCCAAAAACAGCACAAAGAGAGCAAGCCCCAAAGTGCAAGTGCTTTTCAGGTTTCTGTCTGTATCACATTTGCTAATGTCTCATTAGCCAAAGAAAGTCAGAGAGGCATGCCAAAAATCAATGTGGAAGGGTGTCACATGAGGGCATAATATACAAAGTGGCACGATTCCCTGGAGACTATTACTATATTAGCATTAAATAAAAAAATATATGGAAAGTGTATTATATCTAGGCTACCTAAAATTGGCCCCAACCCAATGTTCTGTTCTGTTCTCCTTGGTATAATACCCTTAGAATCCATCCTCATATATATTAGCTAGGTTTATTCTAATAAAAAATTCTTAAATCTATCTTGATGAGAATATTAGAGATGTCCCCTCTACCCAGTTCCCACCCCACTCCAGGCCTTCACCACCTTTTTTCAGTGTCCATAGGCAATGCATATATGCATAGAAGTTCTTGGTTAATCTCTTCCTGTCCCCACTCTGAGATTTGTCAGTCTGTTCCATTTTTCCATGCATCTAGGTCTATTTTATTCATCAGTTTATTTTGTTAATTAGATTTCTTGTTAGTTTATTTTAATTTTTAGGTTTAATTGTTGATGGATATGTATTTATTGCCATTTTATTGTTCATTTCTCCTCCTTCTTCTTCTTCCTCCTCTCCTCCTCCTCCTCCTCCTCCTTCGCTTTCTCCTTCTCCTTCTCCTTCCTCTTCTTAAAGAATACCCTACAACATTTCATGTAATACTGGTTTGGTGGTGGTGAGCTCCTTTAGTTTTTTTCTTATCTGTGAAGCTCTTTATCTCTAAATGATAGCTTTGCTGGATAGAGTAATCTTGATTGTAGGTCCTTGCTATTCATCACTTTGAATATTTCCTGCCACTCCCTTCTGGCCTGAAAATTTTCTGTTGAGAAATCAGCTGACGGTTATATGGGCATTCCCTTGTAGGTAACTAATTGCTTTTCTCTTGCTGCTTTTAAGATTTTCTCTTTGTGTTTAACCACTGGCACTTAAATTTTAATATTTCTTGGTGTGGGCCTCTTTTGATTCCTCTTGTTTGGGACTCTCTGTGCTTCCTGTACTTGTAAGTCTATTTCTATTACCAGGTAGGAGAAGTTTTCTGTCATTATTTCTTCAAAGAGGTTTTCTATATCTTGGTCTCTCTCTCTTCTCCTTCTAGCACCCCAATGATGCAAATGTTGGTATGCTTGAGGTTGTCTCATAGGCTCCTTACATTATCTTCATATATTTTTTTAATTCATTTTTTCTTTTTGCTCTTACGATTGGGTATTTTTTGGTTCCTCATATTCCAAATCATTGATTTGATTCTTGGAATCCTTTACTCTGCTGTTGAATCCCTGTACATTATTCT